CAGACTCTGGGAGTTTTGTTGATTTTTAAGGTGTTACTAGGGATCTGAAGACAGTTTTATGTGTTCCTTGTCAACCATCCTCCTTGTTTTTATTCTTTGTAATGATTCATTGTCATTATTGCTATTATTATTATTATTACTATTATTTGGGGTGGGGGGTGGAGGCAGGGTTTCTCTATGTAGCCCTAGCTGTCCCAGAACTAGCTTTGTAGCCCAGGCTGGCCTCAAACATAAAGATTCAGCTGCCTGTGCCACTTGAGTGATGGGATCAAAGCTTATGCCACCACATCTGGCTTTACTTTTAGTGTGTGTTCATTTGTGTATGGATATTCACATGTGTTCAGGACCCGCTGAGGCCAGAGGTGTTGGAATTTGGAGCTGGAGTTACAGGCAGTTGCCAGCTGCCCGATGTGGGCACTAGAAACTGAACTTAGGTCTTGTACAAGAGCAGTGTGCACTCTGAACTGTTGGGTCATCTCTTCATCACCAGGCTTTTATTCTTTGGCTTGCTGAGACAATTGAATATATTCATTGGTTTTTAATGTTTTCTCAGTCTTGCATGTTTATAAGAAGTCCAAGTTGGTTATTGGGTATAGTTCTCTTTATGGTCTATTTTTTCATCTTTTTATTTGGAGAAATTATGGTTTGTATTTTTTTTGTATTGGCTCTCTGCTTTTATTTATCTATGGATTTTGAAAACAGGGTTTCTCTAGCAGCCTTGGCTGTCCTGGAATTCACTCTGTAGATCAGGCTGGACTCGAACTCACAAAGATCCTCTTGCCTCTGCCTCCCCAGTGCTGGAATTAAAGGTGGAATTAATTTTTGAGGGGGCGGTGATTTTTATATACTAGCAATATGGATCTCTAAATAACATGAGTTAGTGTTAGTGCTACTTAAGTATTGTGGAAGAGATCGTAGTTGTTTGATGTCATATTTTCATTCATTAAATGTGAAGTAGGATAAGCCATTGAGAACATGTGAGGCTTGTCCTTCCTGCTTTGGACAGTTATTTATTACTGCAGTGCCCTTTTCATAAGCTCCACTTACACCTTATATGAGTTTTTGTAGTAGTTTATCCCCAAAACTGGTTTCTTTCTTTCACATCACTAAAACTGGGGAGGAAATGGTTCTTAACACTACTATCTGGTTCTTTTAAGGTCTATGGTATTATTAGGGATGTAATCTTCATGTTACTGATTTGAATGTTGTCATTATTATTATTATTATTATTATTATTATTATTATTATTACCATTACTACTTGAGACAGTGTTTCAACAGGTAGTCTGAGCTAACCTCACATCCACTGCAATCCTCCTTCCTTAATTTACAAAATTGCTAAGATTATGTGTGAACGGTTGTGCCCAGATTATGTTGTCTTTTATTTAGCTTATCTAAGTAAGATTTCTCTATTGTGAATAATTCCAAAGAACCTTTTAGTTTGGTTAATTTCCTATATAGATTTTGGAAATTATGACTTCATCAATATATTCAATTCTTAACTTTCCTCTCCTTTATTAAAGATTAACTTGCTCCTATTTCTCTGATTTTTGGAAGTTAATGTTAAAAGATTGAGTTGAGATTTTCACTGCTTTGTTTGTTTTGTTTGAGATAATGTCTCACTATGTAACTCAGTCTCTCCTGGAACTCACTCTGTAGACCAGCCTGGCCTCAAACTAAGAGATCCGCCTGCCTCTGCCTCCCAAGTACTAGGGTTAAAGGAGTGCAACACTACGCCCAGTTTTGTATTCACTGCTTTTAATTCACATATCTTTTTCTGCATCCTAGAAATGATGTTAAGATAACACCTTAGCAATCTGTAATACTCATGTCATGGTCATTGGTGTGCATGCACGCGTGTGGGTGCGTGCGTGCGTGCGTGTTTTGTGTGTTTGTGTGTGTGTGTGTGTGTGTGTGTGTGTGTGTACATTGTGTTGATTTGGTTTGCTTCCCCTGCCAACCCAGGATTTGAATTACATACTTCTATGTATTCCTGGCCTTTAGAATTTCTGCTAAGGAATCTGCTGCGATGATGTCTTGCTTGTGCAAATAAAGCCTGTCTGAGGGTCAGAGAATGTAGCTTGCTACTAGCTAACCATAGAGGTCTGGAGGTCTGTACAGACAGACAGAAAGTGAGATAACTGGGCAGAAACAGGATGTAAGCAGAGAGAAACAGGAAATCGCTGTCTTGTCTGCTGAGATGCTGAGGAGGTAAGGTGTGCTGTGGCTTGCTCCTTCTCTCTGATCTCAGCATTTCCTCCACATCTGACTCCGGGTTTTTATTATCTAGACCAATTAAGAACTTCATTTACAGTCTGCTGCTGTTGTGATATGTTTGCCTTTAAATGTGCTTTTCACTGTTCTCTCTTGTAGATTTCTTTGAACTGTAATGTGTTGTTAAGAGATTCTTTTCTGCTTGTGTCTGTTTGAGTTTCTGAGTATCTCTAGTGCCTGGGTGTATGTGTTATTTCCAAGATCTAGGCAATTTCTGTTGTTTCATGAGTAGGTTTCAATGTGTTTTGTTTTTTTCATGTGTGTGGGTGTTTTAGGTAAAGTGTGTGTGTTTGCAACATGTGTGTCTGTGTAACACTGTGATGCTAACATTACATTTAAGGTTTTAATTACTATGTGTATGTCTGGTACCCACAGAAACAAATGAGGATGTCAGATCCTCTAGAACTAAAGTTACAGATAGTTGTCAACTGGGAATCCAATGCGGTTCTAAATGAAAGCAGAAGTAACTTACTTTAAAAGATACTGTTGGGTTAGAGAAATAGCTCAATAATGAAGACTACATACTGCTTTTGCAGAAAACTCTTTTGGTTCCCATATCCGTGTTAGGCATCTCTAAACAGCCTGAAACTTCAGTTACAGGAGGGTCATGTCTCTCTGGCCTCCTCAGGTGCATACACACACACACAATTAAAAGTAAAGGTTTTGGATTTGTTTTGGTTTTGTTTTTTAAGTAGGAAAGACAGAAGAGAAGGCAGTTTTTTTTTTTAATGACCCTAAACTAAAGTTCATGGAACCACTTGCCTCTAGATTTTCAAAGATCAGATTCCACCAGCTCTGGGAGGGTGAGTGTTGATGTGGTTGCAGCTTGTTCAGTTCCTCAGATTTCTCCAGAGTGGTTAAAGCAGAATGCAGCCTGCAGTCCTCTTTTGCTAAGCTGGATAAGAAAACACTGGCCACAACAGAAGTAGTGTGTGTTTTCTACTGGGTATTAGGTTGCATACTACGCTTGTGCAACATCAGAGTTTTTTTACTAACCAAATCCTGGCAGAATGTGGACTGCACTGGATACATATGTGTTTGCTCTGGGCCTTTTTTAAATGAAATTATGGGAAGACTCCAAATCTCACTGCATTGCTGGAACTCTACAGGGAGCAGTTGATGTACCTAATTCTTTCCTGGACTATTTGTATTCTATTCATCCCAATCTTGGCAAGTCTCTAGGTCTGTTCCATATCTCTTGGAAAAACAGCATACATCTGGTATTGCTTCATGTGACAGACAGCAAAGTCACGGTATTCTTCAGTATCCTTTGTCACAACCCATGATTCATGCAGAATTAACCTCTCAGGCTGTTTGTGTCAGAGATACTACTCAAAAGTGTTCCATGTGGCACCACCCAGTCAGTGTGGCTGGACATCCACCAGTGCTCTCAGGATGTAATCTCTAGAGTAAAGACTAATGATAAGTGTCTTCTTAGGATGGATACTGGCTGTAGCACTCTGAAGATTTGATTAGCAATTGATTCAGTGTGCTCGGTTTGGCTGAAGCTATACAATATAAGAATTGCTGGGTAAGAGGGAGAGAGTATGAATGGAGGATAAACATATCATGACCTGTGAAGGACACAGTATCCTGTGAACGTCTTACAGAGCGTATCTCCATTACAATGCTGTGAATCTTACTCTTCCTCCTAATGTGGTTTGTTTTAGGACTGTCTAACTTTTGATGATGTGGCTGTGAACTTTACCTTGGAGGAGTGGGATTTGTTGGATTCTTCCCAGAAGCAACTCTACATAGATGTGATGCAGGAAACCTTCAAAAATCTTGTTGCTATAGGTAACAATGAGGGAACAAATATGTCTTATTCACCAATACTGTTCAGTGATTTAGAATATGAAGGGTAAATGTGGTAAACATGCCAGGTATAGATATGTTATATCATGAATTTATAGACATTAATATTATAAATAGACCTCATAATGATTTTTCTGGCTCTGCATTTTAGGACTAACTGAGGAAGGCCAGAGGATTGAAGATGATGATCATTCTAGGAGAAATCTAAGGTAATCTGTCCCTTCCAAATGAGAAGAATGTTGTTCAAGGACATGAGAATCAAAGGTGGAGGGATGGCTCAGTAGTTAATAGCACTGGCTGTTCTTTTAGAGGACCAGGGTTAGATTGCCAGCACCCACTCACATAGTGATTCATAACCATCAGTAACTCCAGTCCCAGGCACTGCATGTAGTTGTTACACAGACATAAAACACTTGTACACATAAAACAAAATAAAGGGGAATTTTTTTTAAGAATATAGAAATGACTAGAAGGCTGGGTGGTGATGGCAAACACCTTTAATCCTAGTACTTGGGAGGCAGAGGCAGGCAGCTCTATGTAAGTTCTAGACCAGCCTGGTCTACAGAGCTAATGCCAGGACAGGCTTCTAAGCCACACAAAGAAACCCTGTCTTGAAGAAAAGAACAAATTTTAAAAATAGGTAAACCAAACAAATATGCTCAACTTCAAAATATTTTAATCTCAAATAATTTTATAAAAATTTATAGAGGATTCGTGACATATAGTATACCAACAAGATAATACAGTTGACTTTCTGATATGATAATCCAGTATACACAAAATTATTTTAAAGTGATGTGGACAGATAGATGGGTCAAGTGATGAATAGTACTTGCTGTGTGAGCATTAATACTTGTTTGAGTTCAGTAATTCCCCAGCACCCGCATTTTTTTAAAAAAAGTAGAGATTGGACTATTCATAGCTAGGGGGATGAGAAAAGTAGCATGAGTTCCAGATTCAATAAGATCCCTGTCTCAAGGGGGTAAGATTGAAAGTGATAGAAGAAGATACCTGATATTCTCATTGATCTTCTAATGCACACATCCACACATACATACATACATTTACCACTCAACACACAATAAGGACCAATGAAATGGCTCAGTAGGTCAAGTTCTTGCCAACACATATGGTGAATCAAGAGAGCAAACACTTGCAGGCTATCCTCCAATATCTATATTGAGGTAGTAGTACATGCATACTCCCATACTACTCACTCGCCCAAGACCACACACACACAATAGATGGATGGATGGATGGGTGGATGGATGGATGGATGGATGGGTGTGGGAGCTGATGATTAAGATCTCCAGTGCTGTTCTTGAACAGAACCTGAGTTTGGTTCCCAGCATCCATGTCAGGCAGCTCACAAGCATCTGTACTCCATCCAATTCTAGAGATCTGAGCTCTTGCCTCTGCAGGTGCCACACTTATGTGCACATACCTATACAGACAGACACACACAGTTAAAAATTTAAAAAGATCTTTAAAGTTTGTTTTCAATACAAAGAATTTTTTAAGTTTAAATAAATAATAAAAGTGAAAAGTGTGTTATTATCATCAGGCTTTGAGTGTGCAGTGTATTCAAAAAAAAAAAAATGAAGAAAGGACCAGCAAGATGGTTTGGTGGGTAAAGGATCTTTGCTGCCCAAGGCTGGCAACCTGAATTCAACCTCCAGAGCCCAGAGTTGAAGGAGAGTGCTGACACCATAAAGTTTTCCTCTAACCTTCATACAGCCCTCTCCCTGTTTATCCAGTAATAATAATTTAGAAGTTTGAAGAAATTTCTTCTTTACAGTGGTCACTGGTTCTCATCTTCAAAATAGTGTGTATATCTACAAATACTTCGAATTCCAAAAGTGTTTTTCTTGAAGCATTTTGTTTTAAAGAGAGCATTTTGTGTTAAGGAGAGGTACCTTCAGTACTGACTAATTATAAATCTAACCGAAGAAGGTAATGAGTTCAAGGCCAGCTTGACCATCAGATCAAGAAGTAAGACTCCACCACAAATGAATAATGAAAAACAATAGGTAAATAAACAACCATAATGATATAGGCATTCAGTGTTTGCAGAATAGTTTACTTGGTAAACATGTTAACATCTGTAGATGTACCAGTGTCTTCACATATGGATGTCCTCTAGAAATCCTGTAAAGCATTTAGCCCATTCATATTAAAGAATTCTAATGGTGTAATGTGAGCAGTTCTCCTGATAGGTAACTTTGAGTAATGTGTCTTCTACTTTTTACAGAAATCGAGTGGTAGAAATATTGTTTGAACCTAGTGAAGGTAGACAATGTGAAGAAATCTTCAGTGAGTTTCCAGATACTGTTGTGAACAAGAAAATCCCTCACCGAGTAAAACTGTGTGAAAGTAATCTATGTGAAGATATACTTGTTGGTCTCCCACCCCTAAATATGCATAACTCTGTTCAAACAGGACATAAACCATATGAGTATGAGATATATGGAGATGGTCTCTATAAATTTAAGGAATGTAGGAAAGCCTTCATGTATCCTGAATGCTTTCTGAAGCATAAAAATAATCACACTGTAGAGAAGCCATATAAATGTCAGCAGTGTGGAAAAGCCTTTTCTTCTTCGAGTAAGGTTCGAAGACATGAAAGAACGCACACTGGTGAGAAACCCTACATATGTAACCATTGTGGGAAAGCCTTCCCTAGTCGTGGCTCCCTTCGACGCCATGACAGGATTCACAGTGGAGAGAAACCTTTTGTTTGTAAGTATTGTGGGAAAGCGTTCACTGGTCAGAGTTCCCTTCCACGACATGAAAGAATTCACAGTGGAGAAAAACCCTATGTATGCAAGTACTGTGGGAAATGTTTCATTTCTTCAAGTACCTGTCGAGTACATGAACGGACTCACACTGGAGAAAAACTCTATGTTTGTAACTTGTGTAATAAAGCTGTCACTACTCGTACTTCTCTTCGAAATCATGAAAGAATCCACAGTGGTGAGAAACCCTATGTCTGTGAACAGTGTGGAAAAGGTTTCATCTCTTCTGGTACCTTTCGAATACATGAACGAATTCACACTGGAGAGAAGCCCTATAAATGTAAGGAATGTGGTAAAGCCTTCACTATACAGAGTTCTCTTCAACGCCATGAAAGGATTCACACTAGGGAAAAGCCCTATGATTGTAAGGAATGTGGGAAAGCTTTCAGTGGTTACAGTTCTCTCAGACGCCATGAAAGGATTCACAGTGGAGAAAGACCCTATGCATGCAAGCAGTGTGGGAAAGCCTTCCCTGCTTTGGGTGACTGTCAAAGACATGAGCAAATTCACACTGGCGAGAAACCCTACGTATGTAAGCAGTGTGGGAAAGCCTTCACTCGCTGTGGTTCCCTTAGAATACACGAAAAGACCCACACTAGAGAGATTTCCTAAGCATAAAATGTGGAAAGGCCTCCTTACTGTATGTCCCTTCTATAAATAGAACATGACAATGTTTAGGGAAGAAAACAAGTATTAATATGAAGTTGTGAGGGCTGCCACTAGTCATTGTTAAATTAACAAAGATAAAAGAACAAACTAAGAATGCACCCAATAACAAAACTTGTACAGAAGCATCAGAAAGTTGTTGATGGTAAGAAATAATTTGAAAATTCTGTGAAAATTCTTCAGGTAGTGACATACTACAAATGTGCATTATGAAAGGTTCAATTCAAAGTAATTTATGTAGAATGCTCCAAAATTACATAGCCTGGAGGAAATGTGCTAAACTCTTGTAAGTAAATGGTGGCATGGCATTCTGTGAAGTTTGCTTAGACAATGGGGCAAGGGTTAATAGGTAGTATTTTTTTTTACAATGTTCCCTACCATTCTGAAGAATTTTAGTTGACTGGTGGAATAGCCTTTTGAGATGAGTTGGCAGTAGCTTGCAGTACTAGGGCAAGGTTCTTCAGAAGGATGGATTTGCTCTGAATTTGGCATCTAATGTGATAATGTTTCTCTCATGGGTCTAGGAGTGGGGGGGGGGTCATCCCTTGGAACTCACTAGCAAAATTTTTGCTTCCTGTTCTGTTGATCTTATGGTTTAACAAAGGGATATCCTTCCACTAGGAAGAGCAACCTTTCTTTTGAATTGCAAGACACCCACATGCACCCAACCCACCCCCATTTACTATAGGTTCCTTGTGCCCTTGAGTTATCTAAAACCAGTCACTATTACTAGGAGTGACAGTCAATACTACCAGGGAGTAATGAAATTACATTTCAGCAATGGAGATGTGCTAATTCTACTTGACACAGTTTTCTGAAAGAGAGAACATCAATTGAGGAATTGCCTCTATTAGATTGATGTGTAGACACGTCTGGGGGGGATTTCTTGATTAATTATGGATGTAACTGTGGGTGGTGCCACTGCTAGGTAGTGATCCTATGTTTTATAGGAAAGCAGGCTGAGCAAGCCATAAGGAGCAAGCTGATAGTTAGCCTTCCTTCATGGTTGTTACTTCAGATCCTACTTCCAAGTTCTGCCTTGAGATATACCCTGGCTTTCCGATGCTGGACTATAAAGTAATCCAAAACAAACCCTTTCCTCCTCAGTTGATTTTGGTCAGGGTTTTAGCAACAGCAACAAATCAAACTAGGGCAAGAGGAAAGAAAAACTGTTCCTGGATTCCCATAGTATTACTATGTCTGAAGATCAAAACCCATAGCAAACTACAACTCAGTCCAAAAGGGTAATAAAGGGCACAGATATTTCAAGAATGAAATTCTTAGTCACTTCTCAAGGTAATGAACTTGCTAATTTGGGTGTATGATGTTTTTATTTATTTACAAGGTTTCTTCACTAAAATTAATTTAAATTTTTTAAAAAACCAAGATGCTTAGTGCTTGCTGAAAATGAGGAAATACAAAATGACACCAGAAAAAAATTACTTATAAATATGGTACAACTTTGGGACCTCGCAAAAGTGAGGATTCTAATTTTTCCTGTCTTATTTTGTTAAGAATATATATTCTGGGCTGGGTGTGGAGCATATGCCTTTAATCCCTAGTACTCAGGAAACAAAGGCAAATGAATCTCTGAGTTCAACACCAACTTGATCTATGTAGTGAGTTCCAGAACAGCCAGGGATGCATAGTGAGACCCTGATTCAAAAACAAACAAACAAATATGTGCTTATTTTCATAGTCTGGTGGTTATTGTTGATAGCCAACTTTAAAAAAAATCTAAAACCACCTGTGAGATAGGCCCCTGAGCATGCGTCTGAGCAATTATGTTGATTGCATAAATGAAGTGGAAGGAGGACTCACTCACCCACTTCTGGAAGTGCCATTCCCTGACTGGGACCCAGGAGTGTGTAAAAGGGGACAGAGTTGGCTTGCTGAGCATACACACAAAATTCATTGCTCTCTGCCTTTTTTCAAGACAGGGATTCTCTGTGTAGCCTTGGCTGTCGTGGGATGCACTCTTTAGACCAGGCTGGCCTTGAACTCACAGAAATTCACCTGCTTCTGCCTCCCAAGTGCTGAGATTAAAGGCGTGTGCCACTACCAGCTGGCCACTCTGTTTTTTTTTTTTTTTCTCCTGTGGATGTAATGTGAGTAGTTGCTCCAAGTTTCTGCCATGTTGACTTCCTCACAGTGATGGAATTATGAGCCAAACAAACCCCCTTTCCTTTTTGTTGCTTTGACCTGGATATTTTGTCACTACAATAGGAAATGAAGCTAAGACATATGCACACATATTAAGCAATTTGTCATATTTTCTTTCATCTCTTCTTTAACTATGTAATATATTTATTGAGTAAATGTCAGTATTGGGTATTGTTACATATTATCATATTTAATTATAGTATAATAAATGAATAAACTTTCCTCAAGGGACTTTGACATCTATTCTAAGGAAACTATTATTTTCAGTTGTAGATGAAAATTATGTTAGATGAAATACCTTTTACTGTCTTTATTTAGAAATTGTGTATAACATAGGATCTTGTTGGGCATCAAAAGGATGAACTTGGAGTGGTTGTTCTCCATTGTCCATTTGGCTGGTGAAGTACACCTGTATATTTTGGTGGGGAAATTTCCACGGGAGTGACATGTGGGACAGTGATTGAAGGGGAAAACTCACACTTAGTGTGGACAATAACTTCGAACAGTATTCCAGAGGAAGTGTCAGGAAAAAGCGGCCAGCACACACCCGCCTTCCTTCGGTCTGAGCGCATCTGTCAATGCTACTGTGATCCTCTGCTGACACCACATTCATTTTTTTCTCCCTCTCAACATGGACTCAACTCAAGTGACTCTCCAGGAGTTTCCAGTCTTTTACCTTCAGATTGGAGCTCCTGAGGCATTTAGCTTCTTGGGGTGGGCAGCTACCAAGTTTTCTGCTTCTCTGGTATGCAGCCAGCCCCTATCATGGATGACAATCCAGTAATGTCTTCTATAATAATTTCTTTTGTTCCATTCCTCTGGAAAACCCTGAATAATATGATCTCATTAGTTCAAAGACAGGGATATTTCTCTTTTTCAGTTTGCAAAATGTACTCAATTTAAAAAATTTTGAAGACATGTCCAGAATATTTTGGGTTTTGTTTGTTTAGTCTTGGTCCCTCCTACTCATTGAGACTGTCTACCTTTTCAAGGTCTGTGTGTGTGAATACGCATGTACCACAGAACATGTGTGTAGGTCTGAGGACAGCTCTAGGTGTCTTCTCACCCTCCACCTCCACTGAGGCGGGGGCTGTCTTGTATCTGCTGCATATGCTAGCTGGCCTGGGAGCTGCCAGCCATTTTCCTGCTCCCGTCTCCACTTTGTCGTAGGCATACTGGGATTGCACTTGTGCATTGCTGCATTTGGTACTCACTCGAGCCCTGGGGCATTCTAGTGCAGTCAGCTCACTTACATGGCATGTGCCTGGCCCACAGCCCTCTCCCCACACAAGAAGTGTCTATTTCAGGTGTGTCACAGGGCTCATCATAAAGTAGGACTTTCCTATGAGTGTGTGGCTAGTTCCAGGTTTCTGAACTAGTTTTAGCTTTTATAACATACTCAAGTATTTCCTACAATGCCCTGAATACTGTCCTCCAGTAAATACATATGTTCTTCAAATTTGCTTCCATAAACTCACACTGAAATGAGTTCATAAATTGAAAATGACTGCTACACTTTGGTTACTGAACTTCAAAGCTAAATTGAATATGTTCAAATTGAAGCAGACTAGAAAGAGAAAATTATGGGAAACAAGCCATTTCCCCCCAGGGTCTTGGTGGTCCTTTTTGCTGATAACAGCAGGAAACTTGAGATACCACTGATAAAATCCAAGTTGAAAAGCCTGGCATGGTGGTGACACCTTTAACCCCAGCATTTGAGAGGCAGAGGCAGGTGGGTCACTCTGGGTTTGAGAACAGCCAGTCCAAGCCACATAAAGCTACACAGTGAGACCCAGTGTCATAAACAGAAAAAGGAGGAGGAGGAGAAGAAACAACCAAATTGCCCATGGGAAAATTATGTGTTCTATGACATTCTTTTCAAAGACAAATTTTTCTATTTAAGACCAAACATGATGTATAACCTTGAGTTTCTACTGCTTACCTCTCAGTCCTAAATCTGGAAAATTACCCATGTAAACTGCCTTAAAACTTTGTTTATAAAACTTTTTTTGCAGGTGTGTTTATATGGGTGGGGGAAGGGGGGATGTTCAGAGCTATTTTTAAAGAGATTCTTTGAAGCCAGCGGTGGTGGCTTTTGGCTTTAATACCAGAAGTGGGAAGGCAGAGATAGGAGGATCTCTGTGAGTTCGAGATTAGCCTGGTCTACAAGAGCTAGTTCCAGAACAGCCTCCAAAACCACAAAGAAACCGTCTCAAAAAACCAAAAAAAAAAAAAAAAAAAAAGAGAAGAAGAAGAAAAGAAAAAAGAAAGAAACCACAGAATGTTCCCTCTCAGCATTGACCAATGAAAGTAATTGGTACACAGGTATTTCATGCTAAAATATGACTTTGAGAAATGCTCCTAATTGTTCCCAATGTCAACCAATCAGAAAACAACCCATAACCACTGATGTAATCCTGTAACTTTTGTCTTTAAAACCCAGCAATAGACTGGTAACTTCACTCCCTCTGGGAGCTGCTGTGACAGCTAGTCAGACAGGGTCCCTGTCATGGGTGGATGAACAATTAAAACCTTGCTTTTGCAGTTTAGTGGGTCTGTCTTCCTGGTGGTCTCTGGGGATCTTTGCAACTTGGGCACAACATACTCAACTGTCACAAAGGCTCCAGGTTGAACTCTGACCTCATGTGTCTTGTTTTAATCACTATCCACCTTAGATTTGAGATAGGGTTTCTCACTGAACCTGGCACCTGACACTTCAGCTAGACTAACCAGCCAGAAAGCTCTAGGAATCCATCTCTGTCCCCTCTAGATGTGGGGTTAAAGGCGTGCACAGTAACACCCAGCTCTGCATGGGTGCTGGGTGTCCAGCTCAGGCGCACATGCCTGCCAGAGAGCACTGTCCATGGAGCCTTCTCATCTCCATCACTCCCGCCTCAACCTCCCAGAGACCTGGTCTCTTCCTTCTTTAATCTCCACTGCTTTCTTCTGGCCTTAAAGCACAGCACATTAACTTTCTGTTTCGTGTGAAAGAATTGGCAGAGACCTATTCTTTATCCTAAAACACGGTATTCATACTATCAGTCATGGTGACAGAGATCTGTAGTCCCAAGATAGGGCTGCCGAGCAGGAGGATCGCATGTTGGAGGCTAGCCAGATACACGGTGAAACTATCAAAGATAGGTTCATGTCACTGTCAAAGTTACAAAAAATGTAAACACTAACCCAGCAACAAACCTTTCCACCTACAATGGTGTGCTCCCTGCAAGGCATGCTAGGACAATGGTGACACAAAGCCTGTGGGAGTCACCACCCGACACCTCATTTTACTTAGGACCCACTCCACAGGATGGAGTCTGTACCTGAGACTGCACAGCCCAAGGACTTAGACAAAAACCAAGCACTATTTTTACACTAAAGGAACAGCAACAAAATGACTGCTAATGATACTCTGCCGTATTCCTGTATCAGTGCCTTGCTCAGCCATCATCCAGACACTTCCTCCTGTAGCAGATGGTGATGCACACAGAGATGAAGCCAGACAATATGCAGAGAACAAGCGAGGTCTCCATCTACTCCCCCCCCCCCAGGCTCAGGGAACCCTGAATAAGAGGAGGCAGAAGAAGAGTAGGGCCAGAGGGGTTGGGGACATCAAGGAAGCAAGGCCTCTAAACACAGAGGGCCCAAAGTACTACGAACTCAGAGGCTGAGGCAGCATGCACAGGGCCTATATAGGTCTGTCCCTGATGGGGTTCTAGAGCTGAAAGAAGTAAACACATGCTCCATCCCTAACCCAGAAGCTTTCTCCAACTGATAACCACTCGCAGATGGAAAATATCGTTTTCTCCAAGTGAGTCTCACTGGGGAGACAACTCTAAAGATTTTTAATTTATTTTATGTATATGAGTGTTCTATTTGCACGTACAACTTTGTGTCAGAGAAGAGCATCAGATCCCCCCATAAATGGTTCTGAGCCACCATGCAGTTGCTGAGAATTGAACTCTGGACCTCTGAAAGAGCAGCCAGTGTCTCAACCACTGAGCCATCTCTCCAGCCGGAAACAAAAATGCTCTTAGGGTAGGCCACAAGCCCAGCAGCAGATGGACAACAGAAAAAACTCTGGAAACTTCTAAGTAGCACCTTGTTCAATAAATGCTGAGGGTTTTTTGTTTTTTGTTTTATTTTTTACCCCACAAGTCCTTTTCATAAATCTTATGGCTTCTGGTTTTGTTTTTATGGAATTCCCAAGTGTGGGAACATGTGGGTATCTGCATCTATATTCGTTTCTTGTGCCTTTTTTTGACCTCTTTTGTTTGCTTTGCCCTATTCTGATGTGTTTGTTTTTGTTTTAGCTTATTAGATTTCTTATTATTATTTTCCATTAGGTGCCCGTTGGTTTTCTAAGGACAGACATAATGGAAGTGGTATGAAACCAAAATAGGAGTCAGATTTTGTTATTGTTGGTTTTTTTGTTTGTTTGTGTTGGTTTGGTTTTTGGTTTTTGTTGGTTGGTTGGTTAGTTGTTTGGTTGGTTGGTTGGTTGGTTTTTTCAAGACAGGGTTTCTCCATGTAGCTCTAGATGTCCTGAAACTCACTCTGTAAACCAAATTGTCCTGGAACTCAGAGACTCACCTGCCTCTGTTGGCATTAAAGGCATCTGCCACCACACCTGGCTTAAGGAAACACATTATTATACATTGTTATTAAGTCTCCATACCTTAGAAGAATAAGTTTCTGTTTCCTAAACCTAATGTATTCTACAAACCATGATTTTCAACCTATTGAACTTGTGACCCTATGATCTACGGTCACCCCTTTGCCTTGCTAAACTCCCGAACCTGTGATATGTGTTTGCCCTTTTGTCTTGGGAGAATGCCTCTTTCCAGATAACTTAATGACCCCCCCTTCCACGTGATGGAGTATTGCATTGTTATTGCCTCCTTTTTAACAGCCAATTATCCCACAGCTGTTTTCTATCACACAGATCTGCCCCACACGAAACCTTGAGCCCTGAGTCCCCCACTCTTCTGTCCAGGTGCTAACAGCCAATTATTTCAACAGCTCTCCCTATCCCTTCCCCACAAAAAGGGAAGCCAGTGAGGGGCTGCTTTCTGATACAGCTTACTTTAATCAGACAGTCATGGAATTGTTTTTTTCCTCAGGTCTAACACCTGGATGGGAGGCGAGGTGGAGAAGAACTCGGAAGGATGGAGGGAGGGAAACCATAATCAGGATAATACAGTATGAAAAAATCCATTTTCCTTTTTTTCTGTTCAAGACAGGATATCTCTTTGTAAAACAGCTCTGCCTGTCCTGGAATAGATAGATAACTCTGTAGACCAGGCTGGCCATGAACTCACAAAGATCTGTCTGTGCCTGCTGCTGGAGTGCTGGGATTAAAAGTGTGTGCCACCACCTCCCTGCTTTGAAAAAAACAAAAACTGTTTTCAATAAAAGGAGAAAAATGTGCTATGTGCTAGTTTTACAGATACATATGTGTATACATATATACAGTATGTGTATGTGTGTATATATATGGTCTCATGGAGAAAGGGTAGCTTCAAATTTCACTATGTAGTCATGGGTGGCTTTTAGCTACTAACCCCCCTCTTCCCTTCCCTAGTGCTGGCATCATAAGCATGTGCCACCATGCTGATCTCCAGCAGGACTTGCTATATAGCACTAGCTGATCACTGTATAACCCAGGCTAATGCCAAACTCAAGGCAATCCTCCTGCTTCAGTTTCAGACAATATGAGATTACAAGTGTAAGGTCAATCACCAGAAAGCTTAAGTAAGCAGCTCGCAGTTTCGTAGATAGAAGAGACAAATGAAACCAAAGAAAAGCAATCTGCTTCACCAACATTTCCCACTCAGATTAAACACACTGGTAACGTTACAAAGCACACTCAGAGTACAAATGCAGCCCACGGTGGGCCTTATACTCAGGATGGGAAACCTGAGCTGATGACAGAGCTGTTCCGTCCCAAATAAACACACAGAGGCTTATGAACTTTTTTGGACAATGGCTCAGGCTTCTTATTAATTATTAACCCACTTCTATTAAACTATGTATTTCCACGAGGCTGTGGCTTACCCATAATGATCCAGCATGTCGCTCCTTCCTGGCTGCATGGCATGATGCCCCTCTGGCCACTTTCTCTCTGTGTTCTTCTTCCCAGCATTCCTAGTCTGGTAGCCCTGCCTTTACTTCCTGCCTGGATACTGGCCAAGCAGCATTTATTCAGCAACCAATAAGAGAAACATATATTCACAGCATACAGAAGGACATCCCCCATCACTGAGCAGCCAAAATATAACCCTAGAACCTACTGTACATGCTTGCTCTACGGTCAACTGCTCCCACCAAGGAAACAAGTTCCTACCTCTCAGAAACAACTCTGATGAACAGTGACCATACATTAATATTGAGTCGCTTAGAATTACTTGAAGATTGTATTTTGGTCACAGCACTTTGACACAGCAACAACAAATGGATGTCCCACATTTCAGTTATGTATGCTAGGAAGAGGACTTAGCTTACACCCTACAACAATTCAGAATTGACTAGAGCTGGAGAGATGGCTCAGCCGTTAGAACTAGCTGCAATGTCAGAGGACCTGGGTTAGATTTGAAGCGCCCACATGGTGGCGCACAATCCCATGTAACTCTAGCTCTAGGGTACCCTGTAAGCTTTTCTGACATCCCCAGAGACCGGACACAAAACGAGGTGCACACACAAACACTCAGGCAAAACACCCCTACACATACATTTTAAAAAATACAGAATTCAGAACTGATTCCCACCACACTCCTCCCCACTGAAAATACCTATTCAAAGCATACTTTGGGGACCTGGACAGATGGCTCAGAGGGTAAAGTCACCTGCCCATCTGAATTCAGTCTCCAAGACCCATATGACAGGAGAAAACTAAGTCTCCCTGTTGGAACGCTGGCATTATGCTGACCCCGCCCCCTGACAACAGGCGGGGCATGCACAGTGGAGTGCCACGTCATCTCCACCTCACTTGTTAATTGTTATGGGG